CCCCAAAACCCCAAAACCCCAAAACCCCATGATCGAATATTTATGGGAGAAGAAATGTAAATTAAATATTCCTTTATCCAAAATAATATTTTATTAATGCTTATGAATCAAAATCCTTCAGTAATTTTAATCCTTTTATAAGCGAATCTTAATCAATTCATTGTATCATCAGGGAATTCTTTTGCTACATTTATGATAAATTCCATTAATCTGTTTTCTCCTGCAGCTCTTATCAATTCCTTATGCATTTTGATGAGTCTTTGAAATTCTTTTTCATTTGTGAAGTATTCAGCAAGATTAATTTGGGGAATAAATGGATGCCAAATTACTAAGAAATAATTGGGATCTCTGTTTGTACTTTTCATTTTTCCTTTTTAGACATCAATTATCATACTTCTTTACGAAATTTTGTTGCAAATAAATCTAAAAAATCTCATCAAGGTTACTTCAAATTTTTCTTTATGGCTCGAGGGCAATATCTTTTATCGTTATTATCTCAATTATTCATCCTTCGACTTTGCCCAATCATCATTTAGCATGAAATACGAAACTGTTAAAGTCCTTTTATCTGGATTATAGTTGTTATTTTTTGAGTCGAGACTTCTTCTCTTTTCATATTATTCTTTTTCGTATGTGGTTAATTTTTCTTATGAAAGAAATGAGGGATTATATTTATCTTTATCCTCTTAAAGATTTGGCAATTAGTATTAGGATTATAAGAAATTGATAAGAATCAAAAGATAGGAAGTTGAAGAGATGTATTAGTATTGTCTTGAATATCCAGAGAGCTATGTTAATCTAAGGAAGAATATCCAAAATGTTGCCATTCTTTTGTAAATTCCTTGACCCAATTCTAGATAGGATTTGATTAGTTTAGGAAGCATAACATCTCTCTAAGATTCATAATAATCAACTTTAATCTACAAAAAAAATTAAAATAATAAATTTATTCACCTTGAAAACAAATGATGCGATTTCTTAACTTATTCCTTGTTGCTAATCGAACTTGACATAAAATCTTCTACTATTATCAAATTTCAATATTCTAAAACCAATAAAGTAATTCTAATCCTTTTCTCCGATTTTCACTTCATCTAAAACTAAGTTCCACCACTTACTGCTAATTTAGATCTTGATGGTGGAATTTTTAAACTAAATTCCTGCACCACTCAAACCTATTAAATCTACTTTAATCTCAAGCTTTTGTTTCAAATTTGGATTCTTGCTAATAAGAATATTTTTTAACTAATTTTCTAACATTGAATTACAAAAAATAATACTGTAGCTATTTTCAGGACTTTGTAAATCAATTATCTATCCCTCTATAACAAGTTAAATTGCTCGTCTTAAATTTTTTTTGTGGTAGAAATTGATAGAAAAATCTTTTATTTGCTTGTTTATCTTCTCATTCTCTTCATTGATGTTGACTAAGTGCTAATAATTCAACGCTATCCTTTCAAGGACATAACTACTAATCTCTTTGTTTAAAACTGCCATCAACTTAATGTTGCTTTAAAAATCTGCAATTTCTTTTAAATTTTCATCATTCAAAGCCTTATTTCTAAGTTTTTCATAGCATATACTGATTGCATCTTTAATCTTTCTCTATTTACTATCTGAAGCCTTTTCCTTTAGGAATTCGAAACTAAGTTTAAGATATTTGCATATATTCTCTGTGAAATTAAAGGCTCTTATACCTCTTATTAGCGCAAGAAGATAATAAAAGAAACTCTTGATTATTTCAGATTTACTAATAAAACTTTTCTTTCTTTGTTCTTAATCTTGATACAAATTATTGCAGAATTCATAAGCTTCCTCTAAGTTTAATTCAAGAGTCTTAAGTGTTGAATTCTTAATATTCAAAAGCTCATTTAGCCTATGTTTTGTTTCATTAAAATTTCTTTAAGAGTCCTACTCTAATCTTAATTACATATTCTCCTAAACTAGTTTAAAGGCATCACTTTGTAAATATTTTTCATATTCTTTTCTTTCCTCTTCTTCTTAATTTTGGTCTGATTGAATAGGCTAAGATTTTAGATTTTTCTACAACTCAAAGAGAATCTATTATGGACTCTAATTTTAATACTTTAGGTTATACTATTCTCCAATGTCAAGTTTGATAAATTTTTCTAGAAATTAGAATATTTCTGCAAAGTATATGTTATCTAACTTATTTTAGAGCTTCTCAACCTTTTTTTAGAATTTTTTAACCTAATTATTTTCATCAACCTCTACTTTAAATTCAAAAGTTAAACTGGTGATTTCTGCTTTAATTTTAAATTTGTGGTCGAATGAATATCTAAGCTAAACAAGGCACTAGTAGAGAAGTGAAAAGCTTTCATAAAATTCTTTACTATAATCATTTATCATCATATTACTATCGGTATTGTTTCTATCCCTTTTTTATAATTCATTTAACTTGTCTTTATTTTTTTCTAAGAATTCTGAGATACCCTTTAAAAGATAGTTTTCAATGATCTTCATTATCGCAAATGTTCCAGTTATTAATTAAGATCTAAGTTTCCTAATAATTTCTACTCCTGCTATGATTTCATATATCACTCTTCTTATCGAAAGTATTTAGAAATCTTATTTCTCGAATAATTTCATTGTGTTAAATGTTTTTTCAAATCCCATTGATAAAGTCTTTGACATTAAGTTGTTATTAAACATCCTTTGAAAGAATTTTCCTTGCTCCAAATTTTACTAGCTATTTTAATCTAAATCAATTTCTGACTCAATGTCAGAAAAATACACTTCTAATATCAGAGCATTCATGATTTGATTGTCATTAAATATGAAAAGTTAATAATTTAAATCGTTCACCTAGTAATTAGAGTTAAATTGATGCTAGATCTTACCTTATTGAAAATAATTGAGATAGTATTTAAACGGATTAATGCCTTCTTAAGAAGCCTAAATTCGTTTGAATTATGAAAATCCTTCTTTTATTAAATGCTTATGTCTTAAATCACTCTACTGATGTACCTTATCATCATCACTGAGACTTTGATAAATCTTTAAAAAGTTATAATTGTATGGTGTCTGTTTATGAAACTATGTTCTTTGTTCTTTTTTAATAATCTAACATCACGAAAGGATAGATGCAGCTTGGTTTTGAACTATATCTTTATTCTCCTAAGATATTCGATAAAGTCTTTGATAAAGTCTTCAGATGCTAGAAATTCTATATGCTTTAGTTAAATAATGTCGTAATTGGCAAGGTCAAGTATGACTAGTCTAGTAAGAAAGGAAAAATACTAATTTTCATGCAGTCTAATCTTTTTGTTTTTCATAGACTCTTCAAATCTTTCTTTGATTTAGCTAATCATTTATTAAAGTTAAAATTGCTACTCTTCCTCATCAAGATCATTCAAGCTTTCAAATATGCTTATAGATGATTAGGAAATTTAATCTTAACTATTAATAGATCTTTCAGTTGGTAAAGTAGAGCATATAGCATCTTCATTTTATTCTCCTTCTTTGTCAAAATGCTCATCATTGACTTCTTCAATGTTTATGTCTTACTTTGATTTAAAATTTAAGCGCAACGAATTTTCTTTTTCGTTCAAAAATTAATTGCTCATTTTAGTTATTAATATAATTAATTATATTTTCCTCAATATTTATATTCAGAAGGAAACTAAAAGTATCTATTAAATCATTTTGGATTAATCACTTTCAATAATAGAATTAGCCAGAAATTCATTCTTTTGGGGTTTTGGGGTTTTGGGGTTTTGGGGTTTTGGGG